GTTTATTCACAAAATAAGTGATTCCAGCCAGGATGGAGTGAGGAGGACTAGAGTCTCTGTTAAAAGTTAGGAAACATGGGAAAATGTATTAAATCTCTATTTTCAAACATTGAAACACAGGAAAGCAAATAGGAGAGAAAAAAATGAGGTGAGCCCTACAATTGCCCCAGTTTTATACTTGGAGATATTTTCAGGCCATGATCAACATAGGGAGACCCAAAGCAAAGCTGGGCTGAGGAGATAAAGATTGAGTTTGGGGAGTATGAAATGTCTGGAATTTGCAATAAGGAGTTACAAAGGAAGAACTATAGGTAGAAAGAATTCCATGATACCCGTTCTTTAAGTCTTTGCCTGAATAATAAACCATACATGTGCAGGGTGAGGCTCCAAGAGGCTGGGCAAAAATTAGCTACCCGAAGAAAGAAAAAATACTGGAGAACTACAATCTGAATGACTACTAGCACTCACATGGGAAAGGAGTCCTTTAGGTTTCATCTAATTAGAGTACAGAAACTTTATTAAAGACCTAGGACAGACAATAGAAAGCCTAATCCAAATTCTCTAAGAAAGGACTAGAAAATCCTTAGAACAAAAGAATAATCTGGACGCTCACAAACAACGTTTAAAAACAAGTCTCAAAAGGATCAAGCTGATCTACTACTAGAGTAATAGCCTCCCAAAACAAAGCCCAATACTCTTTAAAATTCCAGATATCTAATGTATTAGTTTCACCATGCTGCTGTAACAAATTAATATAAATTTAAAACTATACCCATCTATTATCTCATTGTTCTGTAGGTAAAAAGTCTAGGTACAGCATGATTCAGTTGAATCCTCTATTTAGAACCTCACAAGGGTGAAATTAAGGTGTCAGCAGGGTATTGGAATGAACTTCCAAAACCTTTGTTTGTTGGCTGAATTCAGTTCCTTTCAGTTTTAGGATTCAAGTCCCCATTTTCCTGCTAGTTATCGGCTGGGGTCCAGTTTCTGCACCTACAACAATGGTGGCTAAAATTCTTCTCAGGCTTCCAGTCACTTTCATTTCTCCTTCTGCAGCATCTGTCTGACTTTAGTTGAAGAAAGTTCTTTGCTTTTAAGGACTCATGTGATTAGACTGGGATAACTCCAATAATCTGGGATAATCTCCGCATCCTAAAGTCCATAACCTTAATTATATCTGCATAATCCATTTTGCTATGTTACATACTGTATTCACAGGATGCAAGGATTAGGGTATGAATGTCTTTGGGGAGCTATTCTACCCACCATGCTCCACAATGTCCCATTTACAATGTTTGGCATCCAATCAAGGCATATCAGATAAAGTGCAGGAATATATGACTTACATCCAGGAAGACGAAAAAAAAATCTGTTAATATATTTTGATATTTTAATTTTATTTTTTTGTAATTTCTACACCCAATGTGCAGCTCAAACTCACAACCCCAAGATCAAAAGTTGTATGCTCTTTTGACTGAAATATCCAGATGCCCCAAAATATCTATTAATATAAATAGGCAGAAATGACAGAGATAATGGAACTAGCAGATAGAGTTTTTAAAACAGTTATTAAAGGGGTGCCTGGGTGGCTCGTCGGTTAAGTATCCAGCTTCAGCTCCAGTCATTATCTCATGGTTCGTAAGTTTGAGATTCACATCAGGCTCTACGCTGACAACTCAGAGCCTGAAGCCTGCTTCAGATTCTAGGTCTCCCTCTTTCCCTGCTCCTCCCCAACTTGTTCTCTCTCTTTCTCTCTCTCTCTGACACTGTTAGACAGGGGTTAGACAGGGGTTCCTGGTAAGCATCTCACTCTTTATTTCAGCTCAGATCTCTCTGTTTTGTGAGATCGAGAACCATATCAGGCTCTGTGCTGACAGCAGGGAGCCTGCGGGATTCTTTCCCCCCCACCCCTCACCCCCCACCCCTCACCCCCCACCGTCCTTCCCCCATTCACTCACACATGCGTGCACGCTCACTCTCTCTCTAAAAATAAATAAACATTAAAGAAAAAGACATTGTTAGACAAATGATGGCTGAAAGAAATTGTTATCAACTTACAAATGCTACAAAAAATAAAAAAAGAATTTCTCCAGGTGAAAGAAAATGATACCAGTGGCAACATGGATATATACAAAGGAATGAAGAACATTGAAACTGGTAAATATGTGGGTAAATATAAAAGTTATTTCATTCTCTTTTTAAGCTTATTTAAATACAGCTTATTAAGGAAAAATGTATTTGGAGTATATAACACATGTGTTAAGCTTATTTAAAATACAGCTTATTAAGAAAAATGTATTTGGAGTGTATAATACTCCAAATAATACATATGACAATAAGAAATGATCAGAGTAGAGAAATATATTATTGTAAGCTTCTTATATTTTACATAAAATGGTATATTATTTTCAGGTAGACTGTGATAAGTTAAAGATGAATCTACTAAACTCAGATATTTTTCAGCCCCCAAATACATAAATATATCCATCAATCCCTGCACACATAAAATGTAGCTAATAGAGGAGATAAAATGAGAAGACAAAATACTAAACAGCAAAACAAAACAAAAAACTCAACTAATCCAAAGAAGCCCTGCAAAAAGGTAAAAGGAACAAAGAACATATAGAACAAATAGAAAACAAATAGTAAGATTGTAGACTTAACCCAACTATATCAATACTTACACTAAACATAAATGGACTGAACACACCAATTAAAAGACAGAGATTGTCAGCCTGAATTTAAAAAGCAAGACACAACTATGTCTACAAAAAAAAAAAAACAAAACAAACAAAAAAAACATAGTAATATAAAGACAGAGGAGGTAAAAATAAAAAGAGAGAAAAAGATACACATGCAAACACTCATCATAAGAAAGCAGGAGTGGCATCAGAGAAAGCAGATTTCAGAACTATTACCAGAGATAAAAAGAAAAACTGTATAGTGATAAAAGGATTAACTCATCAAGAAGACATAATAGTACTAACTGCAAAAAATGGTATAACTTCTGGGTGGCTCAGTCAGCTAAGTGTCCAACTCTTGATTTCAGCTTAGGTCATAACCTCATTGTTCATGGGATGGAGCCCTGTATCTAGCTCCATGCTGATCATGCAGCCTGCTTGGAATTCTCTTTCCTCCTCTTTCTCTGCCCCTCCTCCACTTACTCTCTCTCTCTCTCAAAATAAATAAATAAACTTTTTTTTTAAATGGCACAACTGCTTGGGAAAGCACTTTGGCAATTTCTTCAAAAGTAAATACGAACTTACCATGTTACTCAGCAATTTCCACTCCTAGGCATTTACCTGAAGGAAAGAAAACATGAATACACAAAATAACTTTTAAATTAATATTCATAATAGCTTTATAGTAATAGTACCAAAACTAGAAACAACTCACGGGGATAACAAACTGTGCAATATTACTCAGTAATAAAAGGAAACTACTACAAAACATCATCATAAATCTCAAAAACATGCTTGCATGAAAGTAGCCAACCACAAAAGAATACATACCATTTAATTCCATGTATGTGAAGCTCTAGAAGAGGCAAAATTTGCGTTAAATGATAGAAATTAAATCAAAAGTTGAGGGGGCTTGACTTGGAAGAGACATAAGGAAATTTGGAGGTTGTGGAAAGGTTCAATAAATTGATTGGTGTGGTGGTTACACACTGCGTACATTTGTATAAATTCACTGTATTTTTAAAATAGGAAAAATTTATTTCTGTAAATTAGGCCTGGATTTCTTGACTTAATCAACAACAAGGGTCAGGAGTTTTAAGGAAAATTAATAGGGTAAAATGCCACAGAAAGAAAGATAACTCTGAGAATTGAAAAGAACTTGTTTCACTACAAGAAGTGTTAGTGATTTTAGAAAGCATCTTTATTGAAAAGATGTGTAGAGTCCATTTTAGTTATACTTACCTAGACTGACAAATTCAAATAGAAAAGGCACAGACTATTCTATTTCAATTAATGCTCTCAAACTTCTATTTCAAATGTTTTCTTTAACGTGCATAGGAATCACTTAAAGGTCTTGTTAAAATGCAGGTTCTGATTCATGAAGTCTTGGGTAGGATTTGAGATTCTACATTTCTAACAAAACACCAGGTTATACGGATGCTGCTGGTTCATCCACTCCACTTTACGCAGCAAGAACACGGATAAAGAGTCTGAGGCATCAAGAACACGGATAAAGAGTCTGAGGCATCGATGGTTTGTACTGAGTGTCAATTTGGTCTAGAAGTTTCCCAGATCTACGGAATCCATCCCTACCACCAGTTAGTTACATGCAGATTGACAACCCAGCCCGTTTCCTATCTGTGAACGTAACCAATACGGATGCTTATGATGCTGTGGAAAATAATTGACTTTACATCTGCAGCCCTGGGTCCAAATCCCAGTTCTGTTTCTTAACAACTATCATCTGAGTTAGTCACTCTTAGTTGTGAAATGAAAGAATAGTTTCGGTTTCTCCTCTCTAGGCTGTTGTGAAGATTACAATAGAAAATGTAAGTGAAAGTATAGCAGCATGGAGTATAACCTTAAAAAAAATATAATGGCTTAAAATGTCAAGCAAAGTAGGCAGAAGATTTTAAGTACCACACAGTTTGGGAACAGGGCGGGACCTAAAAATAAGAGGCGGGGCTCTGGGATTATCCCCGTGGGCGGGCAAGGAATGGACCATATTATACCGGAGGGAAGCCCCATCTAAAAAGTAAGCTTCCTTAACATTATCCCTAAATTATGAAACCTGAAATCTGAACTTCTCCCTTATCAAATATTTCAACTGGAACTTAATCCGACGTCCAATGATACAACTGCTTCAGTCTAGTGATTTCAAACAAAATCCTACCCAACGCATCTCTGTCGTCTTCTCGGATCCCGTCGTCACTTTTCTGTCCCCGCCCCCCACGGCCCCCGCGGGGGGCAGTAGTTTCCACTACGCTAAAGGGGGAGGTGGTAACGGACTCCTGTATCTACTTGCCTCGAGGAGGGGGACGTAGGAGCAGCCACGTTCCGGAAAACCGTAAGAGATCTGGCCCAAGAGGCGCGGAATCAAGAGAAAATCCTAGCCTAGGACGCGGCGTCGGTGCCGGCGGAGAGAGGCGGAGCCCGCAGTCGCCAGGCCGGCGCGCAGTGGCGCCCGCGCCCCCGCGCGCGTCCCCCTACCAGCCTCCGCGGGATGGCACCGGCGGGAGGGGGCGGGGCCGGGCGCTGCTGCCTGCTCCGCGGCGGCCGCCTCCGCTGCGGCCGGAAACAATAGTGGAGGAGCCTGAGCCGCGCGGAACGGCTGCTGCGGCGCGCGGAGCCGACGGTAAAGACCTCGCACCCCGGCCCCCGACCCTCACGCGCCTTGGCCCCGTGATCCCGCGGTTCCGCCGCCTTTGCGCTCCGAGCCCCGCGGCCCTTCGCGCTGCTCATCGCGAGGCGCCGGGACGGACGGAGAGTCGGACTCGGGTCCGCGGCTTCGTGAGGGACGGGCGCGCCCCCCCCCAAAACGCCGGATGTGGAGTGGGGGCCTGGCCCCCCCGAGGCGTTGAGTCCCGGGCAGTCCGGCTGCCTTGGCACTCGGACGCCTTCTGGGTGGGAGGAAGTCCAGGGCGAGGGGACCCCAAGGCTCCTAGCACCCCACCTGGGACTCCCCGGCTCCGGCCGTGCTCGACCCGCCCGGTGGAGCCGCTGCCCGGCCTTCGGTGCAGGTCCTTTGGACGCTGCCGGGACGCCCTCTCCGGGTGTTCGCGCTTCCACGTGTGTTTTCTGCCGCGGATCTCCAATAGCAAGCCTCGCTATATCGAGTTAGAGAAACGCTTCTAAGGGTTCTCACAATGAAGTTAGCAAAGCAGTGTCCCGAACGGGTCGTTTTTCCTGCATTTAACAGCGTTAAGTAGGTTGGAAGGACCCCGGCTGCGCTGCTGAGCATTCGGTGCCAGGGCCCGGATGGGGCAGAGCCGATCACCGAAAACTGCTTTCCTTCAGATCGCCCTCTCAACCATCTGAAGTACGGGATCCAAAAAGGCACTTCGGCTTAGTGACGCCTATGACAAGGCTTTAAGTTTTACCAGCTTTGTGACTTTCCACGATAGAAGTGTGATATGAAGCTGGTTTGATGGGGCTGTTGCGTTAGATAAACAGCATCCTTCCTCTAGAAGTTCCTAATTCTGCCATACCGTCAAGTTCTTGAAATTGCATAACCTACCCTTTCTGTTTCTTAACAGGGACAGTATGAACGAAGAGGAGCAGTTTGTAAACATTGATTTGAATGATGACAACATTTGCAGTGTTTGTAAACTGGGAACAGACAAAGAAACACTCTCCTTCTGCCACGTTTGTTTTGAGCTAAATATTGAGGGTAAGGACACAGTATAGATTCACTTTAATGGCATGAACTTTACATAACTACTTTTGCTGAACTAACTATAAGGTAAAATGAAAATTTCTTGAATGATTGGCAGTTGTGCCAAGTATGATGTGTGAAAATCTGTGGAAGCTAAGAATTTATGGAAAGGAGGCCGAAGTTCTCACAGCTGTGGATTAAGATAAATCTTTTTTCCTTGTTTTAATTACCACGTACTAACCCCAGTTTTGCAAATATAAAAATAAGGTACCAGTTTTGAGTAGGAAACATGTTTTCTGGTTTGAGACCTTATTAAGTTGTCAGGTGGATTCTTTTGTTCTTTCTATATTAAGAATTAACATAACCAAGCATTTACATTGATGAGCAAATGTAATTTAATTCCTTTGGCGTTTCATGCTGGTACCTAACTGGTGTGTTAGAGAACTCTTCCTCAATGTTGTCTTACTTGGAAAAACGTTTTTAAATGTTTAGATAATCTTCCTCAGTGTGATCAGTGATCACACACACCTTTAATAATTTTTAAAAGCTAGAAAGTTTTTTTTTTTACATTTCTTAATAGTTCGAAAGCATATGAAATAGTTCTCCAATTATTAAAAAAGAAGTCTATTATTAAATGTACTATTTGTTTGGATTCTTGTACAGTTAACATGTGTATGTACATTAATAGTTTGCCCCCAAGAAACATGTGGGATGCTTCTTCAATCTTGATGTTATGATAAAACTCTGATTTTTTTTTTTTTTAAATATTTATGGCTCAAACTAAAAAGAATCTTAATATTCTTGTGATAAAAGTTTGCGTGTCATGTCATTTGAATTTTGAATTGTCACATTGGTAGAGAGATTTTGTTAGGCTTTTAGATTTTGGACACTTTCAAAATGGTATTTAAATTTTTTTCCTGGATTGTATATTTGAAAATTTTCTTACCTTTGCTTTTTCTGTTAATTAAATAGGAGATGTGAAATGTTCTTATAGTTAATCCTAATGTATTTGTTGTTATAGTTTTTAATTTTCTTTTGAGATTCCTGTTAGGCCTTTTCAGATATTGTTGTAGGCACCAAATTAATATGTTTAGCTATTCTAAACATATTTGTTTAGAACATGTTTGTTCTTGTAGTAACAAGCCAAAATTATAATCATAAGTAGACCACTAAAATCATAATAAATTATATGATATTCATCTTCCCCTTAAGATCATATTGGTTATGGTCGTTTTGCCATTTTACTGTCTGGAAGAATTGTAGTTGCTGAACATAACAATTGATGGGAGATCATGGATTTCTTAGGAGTAAATAGAATACATATACCTTTGGCCTTAATAAGTGTAGTAATTATAAGTAATTTGAAAGGATTGACTTAAAAGTAAGATTCTTCTATAGCATTTAAATTATCATGTCCTTAATTATGCTAAGGTGAAAGATCTAAATTTATGTTCTTTGGAAATAGAGTTGGACCTATGTATTCTTCTACACTGTAGATTTTAATTTTGAATGGGCAAAGGCATTAGAAATGATCCAGCCCAAACCTGTATTTTACATCAAAGGAAACTGAGGATCAATTTGTAGGACTGTTCAAGGTTGCAGTGGTGATGGCAAACTGTCATTAAGGTCCCAGGCACTGTACTAAGCACCTTATGTGGATTATAGTATTGAACTGAAAATAGCTCTGCGACGGCTTCTGTTATCCATTTTAAAGGTAATGGGACCTAACCATTGAGACCTTCAAGAAACATACTTTGAAGTCACACAGCAGTAATGGACATACCCGGGTTTGAAGCCTGGTGATCTCTTTCCAGTATATATGATCTTAAGTCCATTGATCTTTTGTCAATAGTCAGACAAATGGGTTTTGTCAGAAACCCATTTCTTGAATCTTAATTAGCTATCCTTGCTATTCAGTCAAGCCAACTTTTCCTAACCAGCGCTTCCTAATAAATCATCATTAGTGGCATTCATGCCGTGATAGAATTTTTCCACAGAAACCTAAACTTCCATAATTGCTTTTCTAGCCTTTTAAAAATATGTCTGGTTTTCTGTCATTATATAGAGAACATACAAATATTCCTCAGGTATCATCTTTGTAAATATTTCATCTCTGATAACATCTGTTTTAATATATAAGCATAACGTAAGTCATGTTCTTGAAATAATAGTGGTGTATAACGTAAACAGTTCTCAATTTGAATCAGAACTGTTTCATTTTATATTCTACATACACTGAAGATTTTATCTTTTAAAATGTGAGTTAAACCTTCATGGACAAAAATTATTTTAGAATTAAATCTTCCTCTCCATTTATCTGATGTTGATTTCCCAAATCTATACATTTTTATATTTACTACAGTGACAAGCTAGTCTATTATAACCATTTTAATTTAATGTCATATGATTACTTTAGGAGAAAAGGGAATGAGAACTTTGAAATTCCACGAAATTTCAGTTTTCAAATCGGTATACAGGTCTTTAAAACTCAATGAAAGAAGTGATAAAGTAATTGTATACTTGAAAAATAACAAGGTATATTCTGGTCTTTGTCAAAAAATCTTTTAAAGTGTTTTAAGTTTTCTCTTCCCTATGAAGTTGTTAGCACAATACCAGCCAATAAATATTAGAATGTAAGAGGAAGTTTTAAAAATATGGCATTTAACTATATTAGTTTGGTGTAACTTTTTGTAGTATGATAGTGTTGCTCTTACCTGATTTCTTAGTTTACTAATTGCCAAATTTGTTCTAAAGCATTTTATATTCTCTAAGAGGCCAGTTTAAAAATTCTCTTGAGGAATAATAACAATTTACCTAATTTTGAGTCCACACATTTATAGTGAACAAAAATATTTTATATCTTTTGGGTTGTTGATTATATCAAATCAAAGCTAGTCTAATCAAATGGCCTCTTGTTTAAAGCTGTGTGTGTGCATATATTTATAAAATGAAGACAAAAAAGAAAGAAAGACAGTCAAATCTTCTTGGAGAGATTTCGTATTCTGAGCATAGCTCTAAATTGCCTTTTTTCTGTGACTTTACAGTAATTAAAAGGAAATGGTACCTACATTTTGTATACTTCCTTGTATACTTCAAGGACCTAAGAAATGTATTTTGAGGACTTAACTCTTGAAATGCTTGCAAGATTTATTTTTCTTTGTACCTGTAATTCACATTAAAATAACTTGTTTACTTCCAGGATTAGAAAACAGATGCATAAACTTCTTTATACTCATGACCTGTCCTAGGCCCCAAGACACTATAAACTTTTTTGTGCATGTATGATCAGATGCGTTAATATGCATCATTGTTCATGATACTAAAATCTCTACAGTTAGTGACCAGATTACTACCTTTCCCTAAGCTATTGAGTCTGAGAGGAAGGTAGCCCAGGACAGTCAGGAACCAGTAGTGAAACTCAGCTGTAATGTAGCAAAGTTGGAAATGAAACTAGAGGGGACAAAGGTCCATGACTCCAATCTGTTACTTCATACTGTTTTCATTTTGTGCCAAAAGACTGTGCAAATAATTCTTAGAGCATTCTTACCTTCCTCTAATAATTGACTTCCTTTCTTTTCTTTTCTGTGGAGATAAACTTTTTTACAAGACTGGATCGGGGTGCTTGGGTGGCTCAGTTGGTTAAGTGTCCAACTTTGGCTCAGGCCATGATCTCACAGTTTGTGAGTTTGAACCCTGCATTGGGCTCTGTGCTGACAGCCCAGAGCCTGGATCGTGCTTCAGATTTTGTCTCCTCCTTTCTCCCCTCTTCCCCCACTGACACTCTATTTCTTTCTCTGTCAAAAATAAACATTAAAAATTAAAAAAAAAAAAAGACTGGATCAGAGTTCCTCTTATGCCAAGCAAAGTTTTCAGTCGAACTTGATGGTTGATTAGTAAGCACCACCAGTGCTTACTAGTTCATCTCAGACTTCATTCTCCCTCTAATTTGTTGAAGTTTCTAAGAACTTTTCTAGAAGATGACCCAAATTCATATCCTTGGTAATCTTTCCAGCAAGAAAAATCTATAGGTGTTTTCTCTGGGTTAAAGCACTGGGTTCACCCAGTGCTTACTTTTAATCTTGTTCTTCCTTGATTTTGTCTTTGATCCAACCACTGTTCACATGGCTAGTAGTCAGGGAACACTTTGAAATTCAATATTAAATCTTGATTCAGTTTGTTTATTAAGACTGGTCATTTACTGCTCAAAGTCTGCTAATAGCTCTTCCTTTGTCCTGCTTCTGACACGTAAGCATCTTTCCACTTAAGTAAAAAGACCCACCTCTTTTGATAAGGAAACTGTATTTAGTAGCTAACTGAATCTGGGGTTAGCCTCTTATTTCATATAACCTGAACATTGATACGTATTAACTAAGAGAGTACCTTTATTTTTTAATTTTTTTATGTTTATTTATTTTGGATAGAAAGAGTGTGAGCAGGGGAGGGGCAGAGAGAGAAGGAGACACAATCCAAAGCAGGCTCCAGGCTCTGAGCTGTTAGCACAGGGCCTGAATCGGCTCAAACTCACGGACCATGAGATCATGACCTGAGCAGAAGTCAGCTGCTTAACCAACGAAGCCACCCAGGCACCCCGAGAGTACTTTAAATATAAAGCTCAGTGTGACTTTTTTAAACTTTAACTTGGCTATCTTTAATATACTTGGAAATACAGACACAAAGTTAATTTTTTTAACTGCCTTTTAATGTCACTTTAAATAAATTTGAATACTTTTTAAATGGCTGCAACGGTAAAACCTCATTATTTGGACAGGGGTAGGGAGGGATGAAACTGGAAAGTGGTTTTAACTGGTGATAAGTTTAAATTACAGAATATTTTAAAAGAGAAATAATTGAATCCAGGCTAACAGCATCAGGTGAACACTTGTGATTTAACTACCAACCCAATTATAAGGAGCCAGGTTCTAGAGTCTTATCCGTGTCCTAATTATGGTGGCCTCTTTTAGTTACTCCCAGATTTTCCTCCCTTATAACTTTGTTAAGCTTTCTAATTCTAAAGA